AATTGTGCCTTGTCTTCATTGTGTAACAAATGTTCTTACCCTGAATGGCTTTCTCCTAATTCTTTTTTTTTTCTTTTTTTTTTGTCGGTCATAGGGGCTGGACTCTGGGCCTGGGCACTGTCCCTCAGCTCTTCAGCTCAAGGCTAGTGCTCTACCACTTGAGCCACAGCGCCACTTCTGACTTTTTCTGCTTATGTGGTGCTGAGGAATCAAACCCAGGGCCTCAGGCATGCAAGTCAAGCGCTCTACCACTGAACCACCTTCCCAGCCCTACTTTTTTTTTTGTCGGTGTGGGGCTTGAACTCTGGGCTTGGGCGCTGTCCTTGTGCTCTTCAGCTTAAGGCGAGTGCTCTACCACTTGAGCCACAGCACCACTTCCGGTTTTCTAGTGGTTTACTGGAGATAAGAGTCATACAGACTTTCCTGCCTAGGATGGCTTTGAACTATGATTCTCAGATCTCAGCCTCCTGAGTAGCTAGGACTACAGGTGTGAGCTACCAGCTCCCAGCAGTCTTAAACTGTTTCCCATGCTGGTTTTTGCTGGGAGCAGTGTCCAGGGTGCTGGGTGACAGCACCCTGCAGTATGAGCAGGACCATCTGGTCGCACTCGGACGCTGACACAGCACACGGTTGTACTGTGAAACCACAGCATTAGCCTGCAGCATACTTTACCTTCACCCACCCAGGAATCTCAGGTTCTCAGCAATCTAGTGGGGTCAAGCACTGCCAGTAGGAAACTGAGGTCTAAGGCAGTCAGCAATGTGTCTTTCAACTCTGAAGGCTTGTCCTCTCTATCACCTGCTTCCTCCCCAGGAAGCAAGAATATCCTGTTAAACCATGTCTCTTCTCTGCTGGGCGCTAGTGGCTCACACTTGTAATCCTAGCTACTCAGGAGGCTGAGATCTGAGGATTGCAGTTGGAAGCCTGCCTAGACAGTTAAACCCACAAGACTCTTATCTCCATTTAATCAGCAAAATGCTGGAAGTAGAGCTGTGGTTCAAGTGGCAGAGCACCAGCTAAGCGACAGTGTCCAAGCTCTGAGTTCAAGCCATAGTACCAGCACAAAAGAAACAAAATATGCGGGGCGCTGGTGGCTCTTGCCTGTAATCCTAGCTACTCAGGAGGCTGAGATCTGAGGATCAGGGTTCAAAGCCAGCCCGGAAAGGAAGTCCATGAGACTCTTATCTCCAGTAAACCACCAGAAAACCAGAAGTGGCACTGTGGCTCAAGCAGCAGAGCACTCACCTTGAGCTGAAGAGCTGAGGGACAGTGCCTAGGCCCAGAGTTCAAGCCCCATGACTGACCAAAAAAACAAAAAAAAGATATATCTCTGCAGGAGAATCTGCAAGCCTAAAAGCCTAAGAACCCAGGGCTGGGCCTGTAGTTTTGTGGAACTCTGCTAAGATAACCTGAGGCCCTGGGCTTTATCGGTGGTACCACAAAACCAAACCACACACCCCAAAACCCCTAAAACAAAGCCAAACCCAAGCAAACAAAAACAAAACAGAAGGAAGAACATACCTTCCTGCTGCTGGCAGAGGTGCAACCCTGCTGTCTGGCACTGCCTCTGGTGTCCGCACAGCCCAAGCTGGGGGCAGGCGTGCGGCAGCATGGCCCTCAGCAGCTGGGGTCCTAAGGGTGGAGAAGTTGTCACTGTGGGTCCAATAGGCTCCTTTCCCAGACAGCACCGGGCCCATGTGGCGCTGGCAGTAAGTAATCAGCCTCCTCCCCCTTTACCTTGAGATGACTCTCCATTGGGGCAGTTACAAGGTAACAGGACCTTCTGTCTGGGCAGCTGCAGCCCCTTATCTACTACTTTGGCAGCTGCCACAATCCTCACCCGCCATGATGAAGTCCCAGCCTCCAAGCCCCTCAGGTTACGAAGGTCACCTCAGACACTCACTGGGCTTCTTCTCCCACGTGAGGAGGGTCTTGCTGGCAATAAACCTTCCTTTGTTCTATGGGTCTGGGTGTCTGTGTGGCTCTCCGGCAGGGCCAGTGGCCGCATCCTCACCGATACCTACACGGGAAGCAGCCTCGGCAGCTGGGTCTGCCCCTTTCTTAGTTAACAGAATGCTGTGCCCTAGACGACAGCAAGGCCTCCCAGGGGAAAGAGCAATTACAATCCCAGAGTAACTCAAACCAAACCCAGTGTGGGCACCCCGAGGGCGTGTGGGTGCCTGGCACCATCACAGACCTGCGTGTTCAAGCCCACACAGCACAGCTAAGGATTCACTCTCAGAGGCTTCCGGCCAACCTCCAGGCCAGGACTTTAACTGCTGGTATATAGGAGGCGGGGCAACTGCTGAGCTGATCACATGACACAGCCAGGAATATTGTGGCCTTTGCAGACTATCTGCCTTATGGCCCACTCAGCACACACGTGCCTCTTGCTATCGCTTTTTTTTTTATACACAGTAAGTATTTGAGGGCAGGCTACCAGCATGAAGCCAGAGCCAGGAGGCTGCAGGGCACAAGGCACTGATCTTGCCCTGCCATCTGGCGGACAGTTTCATTCAGGCTTCAAACATCCCAGCAAAGCGCAGCCGCAGCCTGAGTGCGCCTGACACACGTGTCCTCTCACCTGCCTCTGCACCGTCTCAGCAGATCTCCACTGCTGGGTCACGAGGCTTCTTCCCCTCGGACGGTGTGAGGCCAGCCAGCTGCGGCGACCCCCCGAGGATACCTGCACAGGGAGAGGTCAGCAAGAATGCCCTGCCCTGGGGAGCACTGGCTGGACACAGGGCACACAGTGTGGCCTGGTTTCCAGGACAGGGCTGATCTGGGGAACTCCTGCGTCAGTCCACAAAGAGAGAAGCTACATCGTGTCACTGAGGCCAGATGTGGGAGAGAGGGAGTCTTGTCCCCAGAGGGCCCCTGCTCTGCTCAGGCCCCGGCTCCTGCCAGGCTGCTCGGGGATTCCTCAGAAGGGAAGGCATGGGCCTGGCCAGTAGAGCCTCTTCTGTTGGGAGCTCTGTGTCCAAGTCTGTCCCCCAGACAGCTGTTAGTGTTCCTGCAGCCGAGCCTGGAGGCTGGGAGCAGCGCGGAACAGGGCTGTGGCTGGAGGTTGCCCTGCGGTGGCGTGGGCTCGTGGGTCTGATGGCAGAGGCTCTGGGGCCTCGCGTGCAGCTGGACCCCACGTGGCATGGTGTGCTCAGTGCTTCTTCCTTGGGTGGCGCCTGCGGTGGCGGATGAGACAGGAGCTGTAGGCGAAGGCTTTCCCACACACCTCGCACTTGTAGGGCTTCTCGCCCGTGTGCGTCTTCTGGTGTTTCAGGAGGTTGGAGCCACAGTTGAAGGCCTTCCCGCACTGGCTGCACTTGAAGGGCTTCTCGCCGGTGTGCACCCGCTGGTGCTTGGTGACATCGGAGCTGTGGCGGAAGGCCTTCCCGCACGCCTCGCACTTAAAGGGCTTCTCCCCGGTGTGCACGCGCTGGTGGCGGATGTGATCTGTCTTGTGTTTAAAGATGCGCCCGCACTCGCCGCACTCATAGGGCTTCTTCCTCTGAAAAGGAACGAACACAGGGACGCCCTCGAAGTCATCTTTAAATGAGGCGTCAAAGGCGTCGAAGAGATGCGCCTCGTCCTCGGGGCTCAGGACCGCCTCCTTGCCCTGCTTCCTGCTCGCTGCTGCTCTCTTTTTGGACCTTTTTCCCCTAGAAGCACTCTCTCCTTTCGCAGTGGCCTTTGGCACACCTGCCTCCTCTTTGGGGGCCTGTGTCTTCTTCCGGCCTGCGGGCTTTTCCATTCCAGCTCCGGGAAAGTCCCCGGAGGCCAGGGAGGGGTTGAGGGTTCAGAGCCAGCAACTTCTGCACCCTCTGTGCTTCAGTTCCTCAGAAACAACTTGCCCTGTGCCACTGGACCTCTGCACCAACGTGACGGAGCCACATCCTCCTGGGCTGTGGAAGGCAGATGGTGAGCCCAGATCACAAACATCCTCCCGAGCTGCAGAAGACCAACCATGAGTGTCAGATCACACATACCCTTCCACGCGTTCCCACCCGGACAGCCCAATTCATCTGACCCGACCCCAGTTTCCAGTCACTCAGCAGCTGGCCAGAAGTTCCTCTTCCTGTGTGCTGTGTTCTCCTCCCTCCCTCCTTTCTTTCTTTCTTTGCAGTTGTACAGAGATTACAGTTCCCTAAGTCGGGTTATGAGCAGTGTGTCTTCACCAATGTCACCCCTTCCTGGATTCTCCCAACAGGGCCTTTCTCTGCTCTTCCTGACCCCTGCTCCATCGACCTCCACTGGGACTGGTTGGCAAGTTCTGGAGCATGGACTATGCCGGTATTGCCCACAGGTTAGTTCTGAGCTGGGGGGAAACTTGGGGAAATCCCTCACGATCCCCAACAGCCAGCAAATCCTACCACCCCCTGCCAAAGACTCCGTCTCATTCTGGCACGCATTCGACAGCCCAGCCTGCCCTGGGTGTCTCCCCTTCTCATCCTGGCTGGCTTCAGGTTCCAAAAGCACAAGCAGCATTCCTCCTACTTCCACAGGCCTGTACAGGGCTGGACGCCCGGCCCTGTAGACCAGTCTGCTCAGGGCTGGACGCCTGGCTCTGTAGACCAGTCTGCTCGGCCCCTCCTCAGAGCTCCACGCCTTCTCCCTTGGCCTGCTCTGCCTTTTCACCTTGCTTATATGCCTAAGTGCGCACGGTTTCTCGTTCTTGTACTCTCTCTCAGCTCTGGCACTTGGATCATGAAGTTATTTGTTGGGTAACTAAAAAGCTAAAACAGTAACCATTACTTTGCGACCATCTATTCCAGGCATTTGACACCCACGTATCTCACTTCACCAGCCTCCCACAGGGCCAATGGCAGACTTGGTCCTGCTCTGGTGACTGGATATAGGGTGGAAGCACAGGTAACCATCAACTGGGTTTCTGCTCCTGTGGTCTAAAAGTTATCCTGTATAGCGGGGTCTCTCGAAGGGGAGGCATGTTCCCTGTCCGGAAGTCCCTCAACACAACTAGCTTCCACAGGCACGTGACAAGGCTGGCTCAGGGAGCTGTAGAAGCAGCTGCATAGTTCATGTTCCATTTGTTAGGAATCCTGTGCTACAGGATAATCTTGCTCAGAGGCTGTGGGCTCAACTCCCAGCACTGCAACAAGAGAACATGCTCTACTTTTTTTTTTTTTTTTTGGGTCTGGTCGTGGGGCCTGAACTCTGGGCCTGGGCACTGTCCCTCAGCTCTTCAGCTCAAGGCGAGTGCTCTACCACTTGAGCCACAGCGCCACTTCTGGTTTTCTGGTGGTCAATTGGAGACTCTCACAGACTTTCCTGCCCAGGCTGGCTTCGAATCGTAATCCTTAGATCTCAGCCTCCTGAGGAGGTAGGATTACAGGTGTGAGCCGCCAGTGGCCGGCATGTTCTACTTCTTTACTGTATTATTTCTTAGTTTCCTTTCACTGCCCCTCTAATAGCTAATAAGTGGAGTTCTCATAAGGTCTTGCAAACCCTCAGGCCCTTTTAACTGCATATAACCCTCACCCCTGCCCCCATCAGCACCCTTCCCCTTGCAGCCCCCAGGAGCAGACAATGGTTGCCCGCTACCAGGTACCAGGTATGGTGTCCCAAGCAGCCACATTCATCTTGTGTGGCTCTAGGTCGGTCAGGTTGGAGTGAGGCTGCCACCTAGTGTCCAAACTGTTCAATTCTTAGAGAGGCTGCTGGGCCTTCCCTCTTCTCTCCCACACGGGGATCTTTCCCGTAAAATGACAACAGATTTGCTGTCTCACAGGAGCCGAGTCTAGCCTTCCTGCAGGAGCATGTTTAGGTAAACCTGAACTGGCTTCAGGCCAACATGACTGAGGAATCAACCAGAAGCTGGTCTGGAAGGCGGCTCTCAGGATCATGGGGGCGGCAGACACGGGGACTGCAGTGCTGCGCAGCCGGGGGCAGAGGCTCACCCAAGAACCCTACACCAGGGCTGTCCAGTCTCCTGCCTCGGTGGGGAGGGGGGCTGAGCTGCCCAGGGCATGGGCTGCGAAGTCTCCTGGAATCAACTCAGACCCCGGCGGTGAGAGCGCTGCGCCGGTGCCGGCCCGGTCACCGGAGCGCCTGGCCCCGTGCGCCGCTCTCCTCAGGTGGCCGTGTCTCTGCAACCCAGGGCCCTCCGCGCCACCCCGGCGGCAGGCGC